TCATGTTATGAAAATAGACTTTTGATGTTATTTTATTCAAGTAAAAATTCAAATTGTCAGAGACCATCCCACGTGGTGCTTTATCTACATAGCTACATGTTTCCAACTAGTTTTTTTGTGTGTGTGTACCGTTGTTTCTTGAAAACTTTCTAATACTTAATCTTTTCTGTATTTTCATTCTACAATACTAGTCAACACTATTGTTGACTAGTTCGTTAGGGTTTTATTAATTTTCTCCTTTCCCCTTTATGTTTCAGTTCCATTTATATTTTGGTCAGCAAAAGATTAAATCATTCCCTTGGTATACGTTTACTGCCCCCCGAGCTAGAACATGGTGAAACACAGTTCAGTATCTAGTATGATTCTTGTGCCCATGACATCTGCTTCTTCCTAGCATTCATGTTCAGTTTATATCTTTACCTCATCTCACAATCTCTGCATCATGCTGTATGCCTCTAAACAAATGAAATATGTTCTAAAGGAATGTAGAAGTAAATATAATGATAAATCGATTACAGATACTCTTTAACAACTTTGAAGTAGCAAAAATGATTCCTAGGACCCTGAAAGTGAATGTCTGGGAAGCTGCTTCATAGTCTTTGGAAGTTGGTAACTCTAAACTTCATCGTCATTCTGCCTACTGTGTTGTATTGTACAATTCTGTTTGCTTCTGTGAAAGGTTTTTTCCTCTAGATAATTAAAAAGCCATCCTAGACAGTGCTGAGACTCCTTCTGGTTTCATAAGGAAGTTCTAGAAGTTTTGAAAATGTCTAAGGTAAAAATGAATGAATTTGATTGAAACCTGCATACATGCCAAATTCATTAAAATTTTATACCACTTTCCCTATTCATGGCTATGATTAAAACACAACACGGCAAAGAAAAGTTAAGCGAAGTATTATTTCTAGTGGATAATATCTTGATCATAATGCAGCAAACTTGGTCATTTAAATCCTTGAAGAACTAAAGCTTCTCTAAGAAGGGTTTGAGACCAGTGAAACTAGGTGAATTTGTGTGCGCCTCAGCCCTTGATGAGAAGGGGCAGAAATAAGGAATAATGTGTGACTTAGAAATAAGAAAGACAAAAAAGAAATCTCTTTACAAACCAACACAACGAACTGAAAACTAAGGAAAATAAATTGTTACAAAAATACAATGTACCAAGAGAAATTCTGCACAGTTCAACAAAAGATAGATATAAAATCGGTAACCAAAAACCTCCACGCAAAGAAAATCCCAGAGCAGAGCAACATGATTTAACAAGTAAATTCTATCAAACATTCAAATAATTAATTATTATAGTAAATAGAAGAAATGATGTATACAAGACTCATTTTATGAGGTCAAAACCAGAGAGAGACACTGCAGGGAAGGAAACTGTAGGCTGATATCCCTGATGAAAATGAATGGAATATGTGGAAAATGAAGGGAATATGTGGTGTTTATACGCAACAGAGTGCTACTCAGCCATAAAGAAAGGTGAATCGAGTCATTTGCAAGGAAAGAAATGCCTCTTGAGACCTTAATGTTGAGAGAAATCAGACATACAATATCACAAGATTTCTTTTATATGACAAGATCAAAATATAAATAAATAGCAAAATAAAAGATAGATAATAGGAAACAGAGAGATAGATCTTTTGCAAAGAGGACTGAGACGAAGAGATGGAGGGACAGAAGAAGAAAGGGAGAAGAAGGGAATGAAGAAGAATTAAAGTGTATTATGTACGTGTACCAACTCCCCAAAATGAATGTAATTATTATATACTACAAACATGTGGTAGTAAGAAAAAAAGAAAACAGAATCAAAAAAATTTTAATGATGGCTCAGCATATGTGGGACAATCAGTGTGATATAATACTAAACAGAATGAAAGATAAATATCAGCTGATCTTTCATGATATGCAGAAAAACAGTTGATAAAATGCCACATACTTTGGTGGTAAGACTGTCAACAAATTAGGATAACATCAAAAGAAAAAAATTACTGAGGAGTTAATTTGATCAAGAAGATGAAAGTTCTATGCTGCAAAATAATTGATGAAAGAAATTGAGAATACAAACACATAGAATTGAAATGTGTTATTTATATGTACCAGTTTCCTACAGTGAATGTATCATTATATCCTATAGCTTGTACTAATAATAGTACCCTTTCTTCTGTTTTGCTTAAAAAAAAAAAAAAAGGAAAAAAACCAGTGTGGGGGGGGGGGAACTGGAAAATTTTCCCATGTTCATGAATTGAAAGAATCAATACACCTATATGTACTATTCAAAAGTAACCCACAGAGTCAAGTGAGATGAAAAATTTCAATAATATTTTTCACAAAGATGGAAACAAAAGCAATCCTGACACTTGGGTAAAACTATAAATAACTACAAATAACCAAGGCAATTTTAAGAGAAAAAGAATAGAATTAGAAGAAGCACAAGTTTTGATTTCAGTATACATGGTAAAGCTAGAGTAATTAAAACAATTTGATGCTGACATAAAACTATGCATTAACCAACAGAACAGAGCTCAAAAGTAAACCCATGCATATCCAGATGACTATTCACTAACCAAGTTTCTAGGAATACACAATGAGGGGAGCACAGTTTCTTCAAAAAAAAAAAAAAGATGTTAAGAAACTATACCAGTGTGTGCATAAATGAAATCAAATTCATATTATGCATTTACAGGCATGTTTTAAATTTTGCAGTCTTGTTTCTGAAGCAGCACATTTTGCATTTTCTCATATATATATATATATTTTTTCTTTTGCCTTATCAGGCTCTGTTCTTGGCATACCAGTATTAAAATCTTTTTTTCCTCTCATTTCTTACTGGCTTTCTTCCTAATTGGATCCGGATGTAGAAAAGGGCAAAAGTGTGTAGCGTTATTTGATATTCATGAACTGAACCAAGAATAAATATCTTACAACCAGATCTTGATGAGTTAAATTACTATTTCATGTTTCTTTTTCCACTGTATCCATTGTTTTGTAATTGCAAGAGAGTGTAATTTGTTGTTAACTCTGAAATTGATTTCTGGGAACAAAGGGTACATAAATAAGACCCAAAGATGTAATAGCATTTTATTCTCGATTATTTGGGAATGTCCAGTTAGGAAATTTTACTCCATGTATGGTAGAGAAGTGAGCATGGGTGGTGGGATTAAAATGAGCCGTAAGCAACAGGAAAGAATGGATTTAAAGAGTGGTGTTGAATTTATCTTTAGCGAGTGCATAATAATCTAATTGTCAGAGAACTAGAGGGTAGAGAACAGAGAGAATTCAACAGCATACCAAATGTATGTTGTTTGCCAGGAATAACATGACATAGGACTGATAAGATCATATAGAATTGTACAATAAATAAAAGTCCGTGGAAGTGAGAAAAATAAAATGACAGCTGTATTTATAAGATAACGCAGGCACCTTTCTTACAATAAGGATTATTTAAATTAATTTTCATATTGGGACAGACCTTCTTTCTATCTTCTTTCTTTCTAACTGTTCCATATTCGTTTATGAAACATGCTGCAAAGCCAAATTTTAAAGGAAACATTCAAAAATTGGAAGGTCACCTGCATTTTTAAAGTGATATAGTTACTTTATTCTGGCCTTTCTTCATCAACTTTATGTAGAACTATCTCTACCACTCTTATCTTTTAAAAATACATTTTATTTGTGACTTCACCCTGTTCTCTTTTTTCCATATTGCATACAGGACATTCTGGTTTTATTCCCAATTTAATCTTTCCACTCTCTTCCATGAAATCTATGTTCTAACCACACTGACCTACTTTATATTTTTGAATGTTTTATGCTCTTTCAAACTTCTGTGCCTTTGCTCATGCTGTCACTTCTGAATAGACTGCCCTTCTCTACTTTTATATTTGGTAAATCCACTGGCATTCCTTGAAGCCGAAGTCAAATATGACCTTCTCAATTTTGCAGTCCTGCCTTGCTCGTCCAAAAATCCACAGTGCCTTGAACTATGTTTGCTATTTAGGATATGGTTATTCAATGGGTTTGAAATGAGTAATTAGTAAATGTTCAAAAAAATATAAGCTTGTCATATTTAGTCCCATTGATATTTTATATTAAAATTACATTGCATAGTACTTTCTCTAAGAAACTATGAATGTTTAGTACATTGAAATGTATTTTAAGGGAGCCAGTTGAGTGCTTCTATATGAAAATTTAAAATAACTTTATTTTCATATTATACTATTTAATATTTTTATGCTTATCTTGCATACATAGCCTTAAGAAAAACAGTATTCAGTGGTGCAGTGCTTGTCTGACAGTGTGAGATCCTGAGTTCAATTGCTGGTACGAAAAAAGAAAAAAGAAAAACAGTAATTACCAGGGCTATAACTTTAGTCTGCTTTCTGAATATTGAGTGGAAACATGAAATCGGTCATTTTCTATAGGATGTAATTACTATAGTTATTTCTTACCATTATAATTTTAGCTATAATGTTTATATATTTATATGCAGAATATATACTTCATTTTGGAAATATTGCTTCATATGCATGATCAAAACCCAAAACTTCATGTTAGAGCATAAGAAAAAACATCATTCTTGCAGAGCTGGATCAGAATGGGGACAAACAAAGCAGAATTTTAATATTTTATTTTTCAAATGCTTGAGAGTCTGGTAAATGGTAAGATGATGCTATTCAAATGAAACCCAGTGAATGCAATGCCATCTGAGCACAGGGTGAAGCTCATTCTCTACTTCCATGTTTTCTTTGAGGACCCCTAAGATGGGGGAAGAGGAATTAGGCAGCCAGATGTATGAATCAGGAGGTGAAAAGCATGAAGTTTCTTCTTCAGGGAACTGAGACCAGGAAAGCGCACTAGCAAATAGACAAGAACAGCAGTTTCTTAACAAAATGAAGCTTTCACTGCCTCAAATGTGGCAAAGATTCTGACTTTATTGTGGTCCTGAAGCTGAGGTTAAATATGATATGTTGAAACCCAAATGAAAGACAAGTTTGAACAAATTCATTACAACTTCATGCAATTTATTTTAACTAATAAATGCTGCTGCATTTTTATCTGTTGAGTTATATCAATAAAGTGCATTTACATTTCATCCGTGTAGAAGTGACTAGTTATATATTTTAAAAAGACTACTATCAAATTTTATTTTCCTTTACATACAAATAAAGCAGAGCAGTTTATTAACATTGTATAGTCAACCTTTAAAGTATGCCAAAGACGATCACACTAGCTTTTAAATGTCATGGAGTTGATGCACCTGAACATTTTAAATAGAGCTGATAATTCAAAACCATTGGAACGAGTCTGAATTACTCTTCTAGCATTGAAAAATAGTGCTTTAATTATAACATATGTGTATATAAGAAAGTAAAAAAGTGAAAGAAATTCTACTTGGTAACTCAATCTACTGATTTTCAGTCAGGTTGTTTCCTGACACTAATGTGTAAGGGCGTGAGTAGCTTGTCATTAGATCGCAGGCTGATTAGGATTCTGGATTTTTATTTTATTCTTCAACATAATGTTGATACTGATCAATGAGGAGAGGTTGATTGGCTTCCTCCATGTTGTTTTTAGCACGAATCAGACAAGAAACACCCAAAAAAATGATTCCAACCAGTAATAAAGCAGCAACTACTGCGATGGTAACAATCTCAGAAACACTAAACGTTTGGCCTAGTTGAAAGAGAAAATGACAGTAAATTAAAATAGAGATCAAAATAGTTATCACAAAAAATTAGACACTTCTTTCACATACTTTAATAGAAATGCTCCTACTTTTTTCCACATTTTATTAACAAGTTGCCTATCATCTTGAAGGTTTGAAGACATTTGCTAATTTTTTTCCACAAGTACATTATATGGGGACAGTTACTCTTATTTCTAGTCTAAAGTTGAAAAAAAGGATGGCTCAGGTGAAATTCCTTTCTCACCATTGTTTGGTTAGTGAGAAGGTTGATTTTGGGGGCCAGATTGTTCAGCATCTAAATCCTGTGTTCTTCCACAGGCACTGCTGCGCTTGTTGAGAAACAGATTGAAACTTGAACAAGAACATTCTAGACTTCAAAATCTCAGTAAAAAGTAGCTTAGAATATACAAATTCTACTTCATTTATACAGACACAGGCAACAGTCCATTGTCTTCCTTTGCAGGAAATGTAATCTTGACAACTAACCTCTCTAAGGCTTGGTTTTCTTCCTTGCAAGAGGAGACAATACTTTCAAGGGTTGTGAGACTTGTACTATGGCCTATAATCAGCTCAGTATCTGGCCAGAATGAGCTCTCAATAAATGTCAAATCTCCTCTCTACTCCCAAATAAAACTTTGAAATCCAAGCCGAAGAGGTAAACCTCAGAATACAATGATGACTTGGCTTTAAAGACAACAAATTGGTTTTGGAACACATTACAATAAAAATACATCTTCAACACTCACCTGGCCATTGCACTTCATAAGTGTATCCAAGGCTATCAGCAGCAACAACAAACATCTCTGTGTTGGTAACTGGAGGCCAGAACGGTACCATGTTAAATTGTCTATTATGACCAATAGGGGCATTTTCCAGTGGGAATGTGGATATATCTAAAATATTCCAAGGATAACTGGTTAGAAGACACAGAGTTAATATTCGTATCATTATTATGTTCTGAAGAGGCCCCATATTTGAGGAGAATCTGAAACAAATATTCTTTATATTTTATATTGGTTAAAGATTCAAGGAAAGCTTCACTGTGGCAGAACAAAGAATTACATAAAACAGTGCAAATGTTTTAAATGTAGCATCAACGTGCATCAAATACTACAACAAAATACTTAAAAACAGAGGAAATTTAGCATCATTTTGTCATCTATGATGATCATCAACTGTTTAAATTTTAAATTATGAAAAATGATTCAAATACAGTTTATTAAACTTATTTTGCAAAGCCAAAGATAAAAAACAAAAATAAAAAAATCCTGAAAAAACTAGAGACCTGCAATATATTGTAGCATAATCTGTAATTTAAATTTGAGAGATGGTACATCTTTTGGAGTTTGTCCTTGGCTCTTGGTCTTTCTGCTTAATATTTTTCATCTTTTTCTGTTTGTTAGAGAAATCACTATGAATTTTATTCTTACATTTTTACTGTTAGCAAAAAAATTTCATACTTGAATAAAGTTCTTGAGATCCAATTAACTTTTGTCATTGTCTCTCTGTATACTTAGATATATTAACCATTTAGATAAGAGACATCTATATTATTGGTGTGTTTCTGTCATTAGGGATAAAAGAAATGGTAGGTTCTTCATGGCAAAGAGTTGCTCTTCTTACTTATTTGTTCTGTATAATTAAATATGCAATTACATGCCAATTGGGATGCCACAAAACCAAAACAAGATGATGGCTTGTGCGGGACATTAGTGAGCAGGCCCAGCCAGTGTTAGCTTTTCTGTTTATGAGAGTCCTATTCCCTGAACTGTCATTATGATCCTATGCATCAAAGAAGGATGCTTTAGCATCTAGTCTAAATAAAAATTGACCAAAGATGTGGCAGATAGAGGTTATATATTTGTAATTTTAAATTTAATATTTATTAAAGTGAGTTCAATATTTATTTATTAAAATATATTGAATTCTACCATTGCCAAGTACTGGACTAGGCATGTACCCTAGTACTGAAAAAAACAGGCAAAATTCCTGTGCTCAGGTAATTCTTATTCCATTAGTTGTAATGTGCTAAATTACTTTTTAAGGGTAATAACTTAGATAGATTTTTAAACTTTCCATTTTTACTCATCTTGCCTGCCTTGATCAGCCTTACTTCATTTGAGATCTAGGAGTTTGCTAAATTTAAGTTTCTTAAAGAAAGTGGAGGAATAATAGTAAAAGTAATAATAGTAATTGAAATTTTCACATGATTTCCCTAGGCAGGACTCATTCAAAGCTGCCTATATCTCTTAAAATGAAATCCAGTGACCTTGATTATCTACCGTTTTCCTTCTGATTTTATCTACAGATTTTTAAAAAAACTACCTAACATAGTATTTAGCTATTTACCTTTGTTTATTTGATTTCTAACAGCAGGCAGGAAATTTCCCAGAGAAAAGTATTTTTTCTGGAGGTTTGTATGCTACTTCTGGTAATTAAAATACAGCCCAGAGTTAATAGGTGTTCAAATAGTATTTGTGAAAGCATTTATGTGTGTATTTGATTACTTCATTTCTCTCTTGGCTCAACAGATACAATAGTAATCATCCTAAGAAATGTGTAAACTGCTTGTTCCGAAAATGCATGGAATTTTTGGTTATTGTGTTTAAAATTTAACTCAATTCTCAGTTGAAAAGGAGGTGTTAAATTACATATTACACTGATCAACAATGTTAATGAATAGAATTTAGAATTGTTGCAGGCATAGTTCTAATGCTTCGTATTGCATTATATTATGTCTAATATGAGGATTCTAATGCATATTATTGCACAGACAAATGTAATTTCCTTTAACTATAAAATGCAATTCTTGATCCTTTGTGGTCCTAATAATTAATTCCATAATTATGTGATTTTTAAATTAATGCATATGGTTTGTACAGATAAATGAAGTTTTAGCGGGAACATTTGTGCATGTGCTTAACAAGCTTTCATCATTCCCTCCTTTATTTTTCTCATCTCATCCTTCTGCCCAGTTTCAAATGTTTTGGGGAAATCTGAATGGGTATAAAGTACTACAATAATTTTATGACTTTTGAAGCCTTTTTGATATCTTTCAATTTTTGGTATCTTTTAATGCATCTCAAATCAATCTTATTAAATATTTTCAGACTTATCTTCAAAAAGACTAAAATATTTCATATTTTAATTTTTCTTTCTTCCTGAAATAGTTGTTTTATTACACTGCTTTCCAAATGTTACTTGCAGGTTTAAGGGATATTTAAGAAGACAATTAATTGGGTTCAGATTTCATGCAATAAAATAAGTGTTTTCATTGACTTGCCTTCAATTTTATGGTCAGATTTTATAAGAAATATTGTACAGGCTAATTTTCTACTTTGCATTTAAAGTATTTCTCCCATAACTAATTAAAGGGAACTGAGAAACTTTAAGCTTCTTATAGCTTGAAGGAAAGGAGTAGGAGATAAATAAGAGTCAAAGATATTTTTCTGATTCAACAATAATGTTTAAATTAAAATCTGGAACATTTCTAACAAAATACTATGTGAAATAATTACTTTTAATCAATGTATAGAAGGCAATACAATGCATGTTCTCATAATTGAAAGAAAACTCACTTAAGTGACTTGCCAGATTGTTTCTTCATTACCTAACATTCAACATATTGTGAATGACCAGATTAAATATAACTTGTACATTGCTGTCAAGTACCTATTAGTATATATGTAGCAAAAGATTCATAGTTTTGATAATTTTTAACATTAATTTGAGTTGTAACTATACTGAAAGTAATCTTGAAAAAGATATAGATTAGGAAGCATGCATTAAAGTGACATAAAAATCGAGTATGCTACACTTAGACTAGATCTCAAAAGTCTTAATTGCTTGATACACTTGAAAAAAAAAGAGCCCTGACACAGCAAATTATAGAAATTCACAGTGGTTGTAGTTATGCATATAAATGCACATGAAATATGAAGTGGAATTCCAATCAATGAATTCCAAAGTGAAGCAAATATTTATGTGTAAGTTAACCTTATCCTAAATGATTTTCTGATGGCATAAACTATTTGGACCTACTTTGTCAATTAAATGTCTCAAACACTTTGGATAAGAGGAATGTAACACACACACACACACACACACACACACACACACACACAGAGAGAGAGAGAGAGAGAGAGACAGAGAGAGAGAGAGACAGAGAGAGAAAGAGAGAGAGAGAGGCTTCCTTAGATAGATACAGCAATAGATAACCTCTAATGCCACGCTTATGTCCATAATGAAGAGAAGGCAAAAAGTAAAAAATTTATAACATATTAAAAACATGGAAGGTTAACCAGTGAAAGCGCTTTAAAGGTCTCAAAATAATGCAAGGCTTTCGGACTGAGTAGCAGTGTAGAGAGTGAGGCCTTTTAAATAGTATTTTAAAGAACACATTGAAATGAGCCCAAAAGAGATTTCCTATGGTATGATACAAAAATCAACATTAACTTTTCAAGTTAAACAAAATTTCCATTATATGAGGCCATAAAGCAATAAAACACAGAAATGTGGAACATGGTTATAAAATTTTGATCCCCTGAGGCATCAAAGAAGAGCTCTATAAGGTTTTCCCATTAATTTTAAAATGCTACAAGAATGTTCAGTGGAAGATAAGAGGAATAAAAATCTGGGAAATGTGGCAGTTATTTTATTTTTTTGTAGCAAAAATGAGAAGAGATCACCTGATTAACTCTAGTAAATGGTAAATAAATGTCATCTTAAAATATCTATTTTGAGAGACTTCTGCCGTTTCAAAAATGGGTTTGAATATTTGGAAATGACTCCAGAGAGCAGCTATTTTATCTTTATTTTGAAGTGTATCTCATGAGTGTCAAGAGCTAGCATAAACTGTTAACTATGCCATTGGAACAGTGCCCTTTGAAAATGCACATGGAAGTGTCTTACCAGAATTGTATCTCCTAAGCCATTCATCAAAGACTGCGTCAGTGAAAGTATGCAGGAGGACGAATATAGGATCATTTGGAGACAGATGAGTTTGTCCTCCTGTTCCATTCAGGAAGAGATGGGCCAAATTGTGAAGACTTCGAACAGCAGGGTCGTACTTTCCTGTGGGATCGCTGTAACCTAGATTTAAAAGTAAGGATGAGAAGAGTAGAAAATATTGCACATATCTCACTATTTTCAAGTCAACAGCAGTAATTATATTGGGAAGCAATTTTCCCAAAGCTTGTCAAGCCAAAGTTTGCATTAATAAGATTGCATTGCTACTCAGTACCAATGGTTGATGACATTTTCATGCTATGCTCAGAATTAGGTTACTTTTAAGCTGTCAGTGTGACCCTCTATGTGTAGCCAGTAGGTTAAAAATAATGACCTGCAAAGGATACCAGTCAAAATATATAGAACACTCTATTTTGATAAGGGACACATTGTTCTACATGGAAACTAAGATAGAGGAACTCTTCAGTTTTACTAAAACTGCTGACACAGTTGGGAGTACACCGTTTTGATTGTCCTGCAATTGCCAGATGTTACTTTTCATCTTTATTCCTCCTTTTGGATGACTGTCAGCATGTTTATTTTGGAAGAATTATTTTGCAGGAAAGTTACATTTTCTTACCATTAACATAATGTTTTAAAACATCTGAAAAACCTGCAGTCAAAATATTTATAAAATATTGGAGAGTTTAAAAGAAAAACCAAAATTTCACCAAATGCTTCTGTTTGTGAACCAAATAGTTCACAAACAAAAGCTCTCACGAACCAGGTACCACCGTACTAGTGAGAAGATGAGAATAGATGCTGAACAGATCATAAAAAGAAATGGAGAGCCTATGATATCAAAAGGAGTTATAAGTGTGTGCATAGACTTGAAGCAACATTATGTGCCTACAGCATTCACTCATTTTCATACATTCATTTCCTAATTTTTTGATTCTAGAAACACTTAAAGATTGTCTATGCAGCACACGGCATGTGGCTAAGCACTATTCTTTTCATACACTTTGCCTGGAAATCGTTATCAATTGTGTTTTGATTGTGCAGTAATGAGACAAAATCTGTAGGTTTTTGAAAGTCATACTTAAAGCCTTACTTTATAGATGTAGTTTAATCAAAATATAGTAGCTATTTATTGAATCACCTTCAAATAAGTATATTTAAGCAGCATCTATTCCCATGGGAGGGATTCAGAGCGTATCTAATGTGAGCAAGGCTATATTCAACGTAGAATTTAATAGTAATATGACTATAATGAAGTTATATAATTATATTCTTTTAAAAGTTTACATATGTATCAAGCATAGTTTAGAGTTATAAAAATGTATATGTAAAGGCAGAAAGTTTGCATTTGGATTTATACTGCTGCTAACTACCTGAATGTCATGGGAATATCCTTTTATGTATTTGGATTTCATTTTTCTCATCTTTAAAACAGTATCAAAATGTCATTAACAAACTGTGAGTCATTGGAGATATTTGGATTTTTAGAAAATTTTAGAAAGATTTATAGGACCACACAACCTTAATGAAATATATACTCAAACCAGGCTTTACAGACTACCAGCTAATTATTTGAAATTTCTTATTGTAATGCTTTTTAAAAAAGAAATTATTTTATAACCATTTTAATTATTTGCCAATGTTAAACTTTGATATAGTTATATATACTGGCCAGCTAACTGCCAGAAATTTGAGTTTAGGTAGTTTTTAGGTATGCAAGATTGGGGAATAATTTCTAATCCCTTCCCCTATAATAATTAAATTAAGAACAGAAAATTGTGACCAATCGTAAGAGGCACCTCAAATCACACAAATTCATAGCATAACAGGTGTTTAATTTTTTAGCCCTGATATGGACTTCTTCACTTACTATCATAAACAGAGCATTTCAAAGAACCCATTTCATTTACTTGCCTTCTACTGTGTTTCGGAAACTGTCTGTAGAATTGGAATAGAAAGGGGGTGTGTCAAACACACCAACCTCCAAGCACTGGGCAATATCCTGCGGAGCGGGAAGGCGCTGAACCATGGGTCTACCCACATTTCCTGCTGGGTTCCTCCTGATTGGCCCTCCTTCAGTGCCTGGGGAGAACAGGGTACAAACACAGGATCTATGGAGCTATCAGTATTGCTTTCTAAAACATTACACACAGCATAGACACTGCAAAATAGGTCCTCTGGATGGTAAACGAATTTAAAAATGTGTGCTTAGGAACATTAAAGCGAATAAAGCTCCAATTTTCTATATCCTACTACTGTGAGTAAATATGTGACACATAAAAGCAGCTGAAGGAAGAAGTATCACACTAACAGATAAGGATCTTGGTAATTGTTAAAGCAAGATATGCTCTTTCAAGTGAATGTATCCAAGTAAAATTCAATGGAAAATTAAAATTTGCCAAAATATCTTACAAACTTAAATTCCAATATGAAATCTGTATTTCCTTCATGTATCTATATCTATCTATCATCTATTTATCTGATATTTTGTACTAAAATGCAATTTTTAAGCCGTCACAAAATTTGAAAAAAATTCCCTAAATCTCTATGGATAGTGATATTCAGTCTACGAATATATTCATTGATGTGATTAAAAAGTTAAACTTCTTGAAAAGAATAGCCAGTAGGCAAACAAAGAACTGGATAGACAATATAATGAGAGTCTTAAGGGAAGGAATTGGGAGGAGAAAAGGAAGGAGAGATAGTGATAGACACACAGAGAGAGACAGACAGACAAATAGGGAGGGAGAATTTCTAGTCTTGTAGTTATGGAAAAACTTTCACAAGAAATTTACAAAGAAATTTGAAGCATCACAGAGAATTTTTATAGAGAAATCTTATTTTAGGCAATTGAAATAAGAGCTAAGTTGTTTTTATAAAGAAAATCCCATCAGAATACGATTGTACCTCATAATCCTGGCACCTGCCTGGCATTAGACTTGCTCAGTGCATATGGTTGTAGAATAGAGTTTGCTATAGAGTGTGTATTTTTGTTTATCTTTTTTTTTTTTTACTGAAACTATGTGACCCTGATGGGCCATAACAGAACGATGGGAAGCTAGATCAGAACATATTTGAAGAACTCAAGAACTGAAAGTAGGAAGTCATATTTAATTCATTAGGAAGTGAGGAGAAATTGAAGACAAAGGTTGGTGGGAGAAAAGGAGATTGATTTGGAATGTTTTGTTTCAGTGTATCTCAGTGATCTCTAGAGAGGAATATATGTTCCTTAGAGGGAGAAGAAAAATAATCCACTGGATGGGGAAAGAAATTATTGTAACTTCAACTCATTTCTTTTACTTCATAAAGCTTCCAATGTCATATAGTTTAGAGTTAACATAACGATTACCACCTGATGGATTAGTATAATGAACTTTATATAACATATAAACAAATTGTATATACTGAAACTAGCAAGTACAGTATATGTGGACTGTTTGGATGCACATTCACTAAAAACTATCAATGCAAGCTGATGTTTTAAAGCCAGGCATGTTGGTGCAAGCCTGTAATTCCAGCACCTATAAGACTGAGGCAGGAGAAATACCATGTGTTCAAGGCCAGCCTGGCATGCAGAGTGAATTCAAGGTCAGCTTGAACTGCACAGAGAGACCCTGATTCAAAAGCAAACAAAAAAACTGATGTTTTGAGGAGTACTGCCTAGGGAGTTACTGACAAATCATAAGAAAAAAAATAAAGCATTACTTGTACTCAAAACACTGCATAATTTTTCCTTGTGGAATTTTGTAGTAGAAAATTCTGATAGTAAAGGAATTTATTAAATGAGTTTAAACTTATGCCAATTATTTTTAAATTTGTTTGCACATGGACACCCTCTACTGTTGTGTCTATTAATATCTTATTGATCACAGTATTGTTTCCAATTGTGGAAAGTTGATAATAGCTGAATAAGAAAATAGATTTGAGAAGTATCATGAAAACAATCAGTGCTTTTCATATCATTAATCAAATCTCATATTTTAGTGACTGGATGAATTTTAGGTATCAAGAATTCACCTTTCAGTCTGTGAAGTTAACTGCAACGAGCATGGAATATTTAAGGAACGATTGCTCTGAAGATACATACACATGGGTCTCCTCCAAATGGTGACCATTGAAACCACAGGCACGGGCACGATCTCCCAAGAAGAAAAGTAGAGAGAAAGGGGATTGCTAGGAGGCATAAGTGAGTTAACACAGTAAACATTTCAATATGAGACATAGTATGTGTTTGGTGAAAGATTAGTTTCATTTTTCCCTATCTTGCCTAATAAATAAAGTATTTGGTATTTACACCTTGAACTGAGCAATCTTAAGGAAGATTTTCAATGTGTCACAAAGTTATCCTTCTAAATTATGAAAGATGCATATTAATTGACAATAAAAACTTTCATAAAAGAATATACCTCATTTTCATCTTCCATTCTGTTATAATTATGTATGCGCACTTAAATTTTGTTCATTTTGGTATCTGATCATCAGTATGATTGGAAAATGTTCATAAAATTTAAGGCCCAAAATTTGCAGCCTCACCAGAAAAGATAGATATTTAAGTATCTAAGAGATCGTGATCCTCAATTTTGTTTCTCTTCCACAAGATGGAATCATTCATTATGCCAATTAAAAATGTATTCTAAATTTTTATCACCTATAGTGAAAACTTGGTAAGCTATCACATTTCTTAGGTCTGTACATAGCACATACATTCTAAATATTCTAATGGCAAAATGTTTACACATGCCTACTTCTTTCTGATCTATTCAGAATATTCTTTTAAGTTTATAAAGTAATTTAAGATTTGATACATGAATACTGCAAAGTTATATATGAGTATAATAATAAAATGCATTCTTATGATTCTAGTTTTTATGTAGAAGAGCAAATGTTCAAAATATGTATAAATGCCTGAAGAAGAGGAAAATCAGATGGAATAGGAACTTCTAATAAGGCCTCAGGTTAGTAGCACAGAGATATGATCCAAGAAAGAAATAGAAACTCAGGAATAGAGTAACATGAAAGAGCCCTGAACTACAACAGAAAAGTTCAGATAATTGGAGGATGACCTAGGACAACCTGGTATCTCTTACATTTTCTTTCATTCATTATGCAAGAGCAGACAATTAGGAGCTGTCAGACATCATCTGTGCAGTGTTTTGTTTTTTCTAAAAGGTCTTCCAGCATCATTAGTGTCTTTTTAAACTCTCACTGAATAAAAAAGAATTTTCTTTTTTTTCTTTCCTTCCTTCCCACATTCATCGCTCCCAGACCATTTCTATCTCTTTTTCATATTTCATATTTTCCTGAGAAAGATTTTCTGTGAAATTCCAACCCAGACACATGACTAATAAGCAGTACTGAGTATACTAAGAGGATTAATTTATATATCTAGACATTTCTAAACTAAGGAAATCAGCAATGGTGTGACCAGTGCAATGTAAAAATACACAGTCACTTTCTCTTTCCCTGGACCACCTCATAGATTGTCTTGCACACAATAGATGCTCAAGGAGAATCTGAATACTGATTCTTACCATAACAATAACAGATTTTACTCTGAAATAATTGGTAGAATGAAGGGCTTCCTGGCAGTGTGTTTAATCTCTTCCTCCAATAATGGAATTCCAACTGTTGATTTTCATTGAAACTTACTGTTACAGAGTGTTCCCAGGGTATCGTACTCTTCCACGGATTCACAGATCACTCGCCATTGAGAAAAGACAGAGTTGGGACTCAGGAGAGTTGAATCAAAGTTGCTTCTTGAGCCCATCAAGTCATCAGTGCAGATATCACAGACATTTTTCCCAGTTGCAAAATTCCAGTAAGGCAGGGAGAAAGAAGGCTCCTGTAACATGTCCTAGATCATAGAAACTCTGTTAGTCCTCTGTGGTTCAGCTTACACTCTTCCTATTGGCTGGGTTCACTCTCTGCTTGTTTCTACAGGGGCTCCTCAAGGCAACTAAGGAACTGGTGAGTCAAGGTGTGTGGGTACCAAGGAGTTAAACAGAAGTCACTGACTCCCAAAATGAATGAAACTCAATTTGTTGTGTCCTCAAATAACTTGAAAGGAAAAAAGTATTTCTGCTGCTGCTGCTGCTTCTTTTTTTCTTTCTTTTGGGCAGGTGATTACATTTCTCCTGGTTATATCAAAGAATTATCCACAAAACATTTACTCTTTGACATTTGTATTTTTCATTTCCTGTCTTTAAGTAAAACATCACTAAGGCTTAGTCTGATGTCAGATCCAACTTTGAAATGTGTTGTTGGAAACACTGACTTTTGTTTCTGTTTTTTAAAATTTAATTTCAGCGACTGTAGTCAGTTAGACTCTGGTTTGATGGCAGGGAATATGGTCTCTTTTACCATATCTACTTAAAAGTGTTTGGTTTACAGAGTCGTGCTCCTGGATCTAAACTAAGACTCAAGCATCTGTCTGAAATTCACACAGGAAATACTAAGCAGAAACAGAATAAATTTTTGTGCCTGTTGCTTTTTAGACCAGAGACCCAGTTTCCATTAAGAGCTGGTCTTGCATTTGTTAAAAACACTTCAGTAAAGGTCACAGGCTTATTTTATTGGGCTCCTAAAGCATGCATTACTTTATTTGTTGTTTTTCATTTCATATTCCCTTTAAGAAGTTACATCCATAAGTGAGTTTTTTTTTTTTTTTTTTTTTTCTTTTTTTGAGACAGGATCTTGCTATGTAGTTCAGGCTGATCTTGAACTCTAGCCTATGGCAGACTCAAAGTCAAGAGTTTCCTGCCTCAGCCTCTGAAGTACTGGGAACAGGGATGTGATTTAAATGAAAGAATTATCATTGTTTAGCTTCTCAAGCACACAGTACCTTCTGCCTTTTTACTTTTAATTCCTTTCCAGGCCACATTTTCTTACCCTTGATTATGTGATAGGGTCAGCTGCCTTTCAAGGCACACCCTCAGTTATTGATCTCCAAGTGTTTGCAGTCCTCATTTAGAAGCCATTGTGGTGGTTCACAAAAATTAGTGACAGCTTCTGAGGAATCATTAAGAACCAGGCTGTGGTTCAGAAATGGACTGTTAGGAACCAGAGCAAATTCAGACAGCAATTCAGCTGTGCATTGTTTAGACTGTAAGTTGCTGAATGCCTTGTGTGCTGTATAGAGGTCCAAGTTTACACAGACAACGTGAAAGCCTTTGAAAACCTTATGCCTGTGCTCTCAGCTGTTGTACCCACGGGGATATACGCAGATCTAGTCAATGATAAATGACAGATCTGTCTACACCAAATCTACTAAATGCCTCACTTGTGTAAGAGATATAAAATAGGTACCAGAGAAATTCATTTAATCATGACAAACTGCATTAGTATAGACAACTTACAAACAAATATTTTATTCTGCATTTTAGAACATTAATTATCTTTCAAATTTTTCAATTTTTCTTCTTGAAGTAATGCTGGTACTAACATCCTGAAAATCAATAAATTAGTCTAAATACCTTTTCTGTCCTTAGAAGTCTTTAGGTTAATTTTTAAAATTTTAACTTAGGGGAGATTATTACCATTAAGCATTGAAAAGAAGTTTAATTTATGAATTTTTTAGTTGAGACCTGATCATCAAAATTTGTATTTAAAATTACAACACTTCATCAGAAAAACAGATCTGTCAGTTAAAAAAAGAAAACATAAATGTCTATTCTACCAAATACTTTAGTATCTTTTGAATGTATCTGCTTAAAAAATAAGCATGAAATAGTTGTGCACAGATTGAGGTTCAGTTTATGCTCCTGAAAAGCCAGTTTCTTTTAATTAAAAGATGATAGAGGTACTATATATTTTAGTTTTTTAAAAAGAAACTGAATTTTTGGTATGTAACATAATGTTTATGTCTATCCATAATAAGATGACTATAATTATCAACAAAGTTAGTATCCATAATTTGCATATAGTTATGTAAGGTCTTTAGGTAGGGTATGGAAACATGGAGTTTAATGAAAATATAACAATCAAAATGTAAAGGAATATTTTTCATGTTTTTAACTCTAACCTGTACTGGGCAGAATCATCAACTAGTGAGAGGAGATCGGCCAGTTAGAAACAAAGGGGCTGAGTGAGTCACTCCCTCCTTGCATTTGGTCCTACGCAGCACCCAAAGCCTATTCCTGCTTCCGTTATCCGAAGAGAGGCACAGAATGAAATTGCAAAAGCCTGGCAGATCCCCACAGCCTGGGAGGTGGAGAATCCCAAGGAGGATTCCGTGGGAGGCACCTGGAGCCAGAGATGTATGGCCTTTACATTCTGCAAGCCTTCCCCCCTTTTCTCCTTTCCTTTGCTGTTGCTGCCTTCCCAATGATTTTCAATACACTAGACTATGATGGGTCCATTCAAATGTGACAGAGGCTCAGCCTGTATATACGACTGGGCATTTGGAGGGGTGCATATACGCTCAATTCATCCAACCAGAAGAGAGCATCTACTTACCTCTAACAAAGAAGGGTCCATGCAAAATGAGTCTGCTTTGTTTCTGACTTCCTGGGAGCCAGTTTTTTAAATCTGTAGAGATTTCTTAGTTTAATTTGTGCCTCAAAATGCCTTAAATGACTTTCTTTTTCAATTCACAAAAAGATAAAGTTTAGCTAATAAGCAAGTGATCAGAATGAGATGAAAAATGAATACCAAAGGCAGATTAATACCATGAAATCACTTTGTCATCACATGCTCTAATCATTTGGAGCAACACTGAATTAAACTGACTTACAGACAGGGTGATGCACCATCTACAAAGGACTTGAAATTGGACTTGAAGTTAAACATTTTCATTCCTACCTGCATATCTTTCTCCAGCTGCAGGAGATGGTACCTGTGCCAAGTAAGAAAAGCTGGTCCTTCATGAGAGAAATCCACTTCGCCAAAGCCTTCTTGCCCTGGCCCAAGAAAAGTCTTTTTGACAGAGTAATAGTGTGTCCAAACAAAGTAGTTATAAATGGAGATGTTCTCAAATTGTGGGGTGTTGCCGTCTGATCCCAGTATTTCTTCTGACCTCCTTGTGGCTATGACATATTGTGGGTGAGTGGTACGCTTGGCCATGTCCAGGGCCTGGACAAAGTGGTTCTTTTCCTCTGCACTTAAGTCCAGGAGATTTCTTCTCACTTTAGGGATGAAAAAATCAGACATGAAAACTTCTGCCTTACGGGAATGAGTAGAAAATGAGCCCATTGTGTCCTGCTTGTCCATTAATGGTTACATATATGTATATTTGAATCTCTTTCAAATTATTTTATAAGTTAGACACTCTCTCCCTGAAATGCTTGGGATCAGACATGCTTCAGAATTTGAGTACTTTTGCATTTTAAAATGTTTTTAATACATAATGAGACATTTTGAGGATGGTACATCTAAACACAAAAGTAATTTATTTTGTGTTATACATGCAACAAAATTTGACAGTATAGGACTTTCCACCTGTGGTCTCATGTCAAAATTTTAGAGTTTTGAATCTTTTGGATTTTTAGGTTAGGAAAATTCAACTTTAAAAAATCCTTAATTAAAATCTTCTTCCAATCTTTTTCTCTTTCTTCCCCTCTCTATATACATCTGGCCTGTTTTTTGTTAACCTTTTTTAACCTTACTTGTGAATTTCAAAGTTTTTCTTGTGAATCTATGAATCTGTGACCTGGTCATATTCATTCTGCTCACTATTGACATTTTTCTTAGAATTTTTGCTTTTTTAACATCATGACTCTTGCAAAAATCAGGTAAGGGTTACAGTACAGTGACTAAAACCAGGGTTTTCTTTTCTTTTTTTTTTTTTTAAGTGACTTTGGGAACATTTTTTTTAAAGCTTAGTTTTCCATCTGTAAAATGTGGAGTGGTAAAGATCAGAGCACACACGTAAGAGCAATTAGACCAAGGCCTTCATCACAATAAAGAATAATAACTACTTTTTTTACATCCTTGGTTCAGGGTTTGGCATATTGAAAAAGATCAAGTACCACAAGCTGTTACTATTTAATGTTTTGATGTCTGTATCATGCTATTTACACTCTAGGCTCCACAACTCATCTAAAATGCCTGAATTTGATCAGCATAGTGGGAAACTTCCTTGCTGGCTAGCAGGGCTAGTTGAGGAAGCTGAAATATTAGAGCTCCATAGAACTCAGTTTTATAAAGCATCAGATGTGTGTTTGACCTTTCTGAACCTCATCTATGGCAATTAACATCAATGCCTTAGTCCTACACAGGTCCTAGCACCACAGTGATCACTTAACAAATCTTTTTTTAGGAAATATTATTAATTTAAAGGACTCAGTTTCTTTTTCAACCCTCTACTTGTAACATGTTTTTTAACCTTGCCAAGCCTCAGTTTGCTCAACTGGGAAAATGGAAAGTTGAGCAGTATAATTTGAAGGTGATCTTCTAGTTCACGTGATGTAGGCTGCAATAAAGAGCTTCAAATCTCACCCAAGTCTGTGCACCAGTTCACACCATCTCCTACCTGTGAGAACGCGCTGGTTGCAGGCAGTTCCTGTCCACCCAGGACGGCATGCTCCACAGTTGTGTCCTGAGAAATTGCCACTGCATTGGCACGTCCTATTGAAGAATCGCAGAGGCCATTGCTCCCGATCGTCTCTGCCATCATGTGGGTACTGGCGGCTGTGGGGTCTAGAGTCTGCCGTCACTACACCACACCTGCCCCTCCCTGAGGAAGATCCACAGGGGTCTGTCCCAGGCCCAGCCAAGGGGGACAAATCGGGGCAGCACACACCACTTTGCAAAGCCTCGACAGTGGCACACTGACGTGGAAACTGAGCCCACACCTGCTGCAAAAGCAGCAGAGAGAAGAACATAGATCCCAGAGACAGGAGTCTGTAAGATTTCATTCTGGTGGGCATAAGGCTGCAGCACAAAGGTCTGGTTTGCATCCTTGGCATAGAGGGAGGTAGTCCTGTAGATAAAAATTCACCTGGAAGAAGAAAGAAAAATAGAATTATGCAAGTTTTTAGTATTCTTAAAATGGATACAGGCTCTCTCAATCTCCCTTCAGCATAAAATCCCTGCTATAAAAAGACACTTCAAACAATGATAATAGTTTACTTTCAAAAGTTTGACATGCATACTACCTCTCTAATTAAATCCACTTCCTAGTAATTTACTTTTTTTCATTTAAAATTCATATTTATATGATAGTACTGATCATATACCAAAAGTATTCATTAGCAGCTCAGCACAATTAGCAATATTAGCCATGGGGGCTGAACAAAGAACTGGGAACTTTCCAGCAAGTTAATTTTGTTAATTTTAAGTCTCCCTGCTAGTGGAGATAATGGTGAGAGTACACTCACTCCCAAAGAGCCTCTCTCCAGTACCTTAAGATCCTGAGAGATTTATCTACAGGACTGGCCTAAGTGGACAGTTTTTTATGTGCTTTTTGCATGATGTCAGAGCTGTTAATTACATGTGGGATTCTGACTTGCAGCTAATAAATCTGCTCACCCAAAGCAGGAGGGGCTGGTCCTATTCTCCAGCCTTCCCTAATCCCTTTTCACATCAGTGAATTTTTCTGCCCTTTAACAACTTGGTCAGCACATGATTCGCTTCCCACTGGTTTCCTTGTGATACTTAAAGTTTTAAGAAAAGGTCAGCAGCACTAATTTGGAAAATAAGTTAGAGAAACTATAGCACCTTTGTTTTCATTGCATTGTAGAGCTGGTTTTCTGTGAGAGTGTCATAATAGAGTGAAACAAGATTAATTACATTTTCTGATACAAGAAACAGGCTAGTACTTGTACCCTGCAATAGTTTTTGGCTGAGTTCTGCTCTTTTTTTTTTAAGACACTGTCAGGTTGCAAAATCAAAGCATAAAAAATGAATGGACAATCAAACAGCACAAACTATTCTGTTCACTGAACTAACAAAAACTTAGTAGTATAGTTATCCACAACGAGTTCTAAGAAAACAATATGTAATACATCAAATAGTGATGACTTTTTAATGTTATTTTTTTGAAATTCCATATCATTTCTATCCTTCTGTTTTGCTTTTTTTAAAAAATAAAATAATATGAAAAAAGATGCTGTCAGTTTTACAATTTCTGGGAAGACTAGTTATAGTAGAAAATGAATCAGAACCAATTATACCAACCTGCATAACACTGGTGCCTGCAGGCTTTTGAGTTGGTTACCTCACCTCGACTACCTCCACTGGCACTGGTGGCTGTTTCTGTGGCAAAGCATCACAGGTAACTAGTAGTTTTGCTGCATGATTTCTCATTCCCACTTTTTTCTGTATGCCAGTGGCATTAACAGTAATGGATATGTATAACTGTACAGGAACTTTCCCCTAAAGATGAAATTTATGCATATGAAGTCAATCTTCAAAGGTAAATTTTTATACATAGGTTATCAGGATTCATGGTTAATGTTGGCTGTCTACAGCCCATTTTACTAAGCCATAAAATTGACCAGAAAACATATAAGAGAATGAGTATATGGTTACCAATGAAAATATAACTAAGGTTTTGTAAATTGAGGTAAAATTAAAAAGTTTCTTTTGTTTACAGCCCATGATTACAGTACCAGATGATTTAATACAAACACATTATAAAGTGTAGTTATTGAGATATTGTTGGCCAACTAAAGTTTCATTCTTTTTTATTTTTTTATCCTTTATGTATACAAAATGTCTATGTGTTTCCTAGGCTATTTCATAATTTTTTTTTAATTTAAAGAGAAAGAAAAACAAAGCAGTAAAAGGGTACAAGTAATACAGAATTTCAAGAAAAAAAAATACACAGTAAGAAATCACTAGTTAATAGATCACATATTGTCATCTTAGAAACAGTTGTCCAAATTACAAAATTAAAGCATACAAAGTAGACATTCATACAGTGAGATTGCAGACAGTTCTATTCAATGATCCAACAAAAACTCAGTAATATGGTTCTCCATCCTACACATTTAAATATACATGCAGTTATATCCTTTAGACCACTTGCATTTCCTCTTTTTTACAATAACAATTACACTTTTTGGGTTTTATTACTCCACAGTTCTTATAATTTTTTTTTCTGAAGAGAAACAAAGAAAAAAACCCCAAATGTGACAAAGCAAAACAGAGTCAGTTAGAACAGAAGGATAGACATAGTACCTGATGCAAAAACAGAATACCAGGTGATCAAAAAGAGTTATCATTATGCCTCTTGCTATCTTAAGAAGAGTTGCCTATATCTTCAGGTATAATAGAATTGAACAAAACAGTACAGGACAAGACCAATAAAACCTACACTGGAGACCTTACAGGACTTCAAAAGAAGATATTAGTCAAACCACAATGGGCATCATATAAATGTTTTTAAAAAGCAGAAGAATTTTGGTGATTACTTAGCTTATGCATAAGGTCAACTTGTTTTTCTCAAGCTGCATTTGTAGGGAATCAGGATCACAAAATTGGTATCGTTACTCTGCAAGTAGCCTGCAATGATTAAATTTTTTTTTTTACTAATACTGTTTCTAAAGTGAATCAAAGTTGTTGCATGTGAAATGTTGCAGAAGTACTGTATAGTCTTTATAAGTGGCAATTTTATATATCATTGTATTATATACCTTTGTAAGAATGCATTAAAATGTATTTACCCAGTCTCCTGTTGGTGGACATTCACGTTATTTTTCATTTATTTTTTTGCCTCATGAACAATGCTACTATAAATGATCTTTAAGTACTTATTAAATATATGTATGCATTCTGCATGATTAAGTCTCTACAGAGGGAATTGCTAATCTTAAGGTTTGTGAATATTTACAAGGTAATTTTAAATTGTTGTCCAAAGTAATTGTATCACTTTGTATCTCCACTATCAGGGTTGAAATTGTTTATTGCTTTGCAAGCTTGTTAACATTTAGTATTATTAGAATAATTGACAATTACATACACAAGCTTGTTAACATTTAGTATTATTAGAATAATTGACAATTACATACACAATGGGCCTCTCTTTAATTTTGCTTTCTGTGGTTTCTTTAGTCAATTGTGTTTTGAATTGTTGCATGGCAAATTGCCAAAATAATTCATAAATTTTAAATTGTGCAGTACTCTGGGTTGGTTGATGAAATTGCATGCTGACCTTCTAGGCAAGGCACCATCCCTTTTCCTACATATTCATGCTGTACATGCAGCTACCCCATCAGTTACCTAGTGGCCAGCTCAGTTATCAGAAGTTTTCAGATAATCTGTGTAAGCATTTCAGTGCCTGTTTAAGAAACTTTTATTTACACCATAATGTCTCCAATGTGCAAGTATAAGAGGCTGGCAATTTGGATGTGTAAGAGAAGCCACAAACTTCCTTCCTTCCTTTCTTTCTTTCTTTCCTTTCTTTCTTTCTTTTTTTTAACTGAAAAGGTAAAGCTCTTGACTTAGTAAGGAAAGGAAACAAATTGTATACTGAAATAATTCAGTTCTAGGGTAAATATAAATAGGATAAAACACAGTAAACATAAAATTCAGTACAAGCCGTGGTTTTAGGCACTATCTTGGAATGCATCTATGTACTCAGATAATAGGAGAGTAACTGTACCCCTAGACTTTTCTCCACTGGATAAAACATCATGCAGTTGACATCAATGGTTGTATTTTTCATGAGTACTTTTAATATGTTTTGCTTTGTTTCCAGATCTTCATTATTATAGTAATTCTTTGGTAAATTTTCAACCTCAGATTGTTTTTTAAATTACTGTTCTGCAAATGTGGGGGAATAAAGTAGGATTTTTAAAAATATACATTGAGCTTGGAGGACTGTGGAGTTCTAAGCAAGTAGGCAGGTGCCACCAGTTCCAGAGGCCCGGTGGCCTGGGGTGAGTGCCCCGTACACTTTCCCTCAAGTCCAGCTGGTTTGGGACCCTCTCTCACCTGGCCAGGGAACCTCGAAGCTTCTGGGTGCACTGGAGAGGTGTGGCAGGTCCTGGGAGCAGACATTAGGCTCCCATCTCCTGGCTGTGCTTGGTGAACTGTGGAATGCTAAGCAAGCGCCATCAGTTCCAGAGGCTGGGCTTGAGCCAGCCTCTTCCATCTCCAGTGACCCTCTATCAATCCAGGGAACTGGGTGCCAGATTCCCAGGAGCTGAGGGCATAGAAGAGGATTTTCAACAGACACTGGGGAAGCCTTAGAATAACACTCAAAACACTTGAAACACAGAAATATAGGAAAATGACAAAACGAAAGACCAAATTACAATGTCAGACCTCCAGCCCATACAAAAAACCCTCAGGAGCGATGTATATAGGAGAAAATATATGCTATACACCTCAAATATGAGACATAATAGCAACTGAAATAAGCAAGCAACTCTAGGAAGCTTTAAAGGAATTCAAACTAGAAATAATCTCCCAGGTAAAAGAAGAAATGATAAAAGAAATGAAAAAGATGCTGAATATATCTGAAGAAGAGACAGTTCAAAAATTGAAAGAACTAAACAAAAAGATAGAATCCCTAGATGAGCAATATATGAAGCAAACCTAATACACACAGCAGATGCACAGAGATATATAGGAAATCAAAAATTCCACTGAAAGCTGTAAAAACCACCTCAATGAAGTAAAGATAGAATTTCAGACCTTGAAGACAAGATTGCAGCTAATGAACAAGAAAGGAAAGATCTTTTAAAAATAACAAGGAATCAGAAAATAATTCAACAACTGCAAGATGATGCAAAAAAACCACATAAGATTGATATGGATTAATGAAAAAGAAGGGGATGACATAAAGGACATCAAGAGGATATTTAAAGAAGTAATAGCTGAAAATTTCCCTAACCTGACATCAGAAACTGACATCAGGATCAGTGAAGCATATAGAACTCCAAATAATCATAACCAAAATAAAACTACACCCAGACATATAATAATCACCATCCCAGAAATCCAGCATAGGAATAGAATATTAAAAGCTGTCAGAGAGAAGACAGATCACTTATAAAGGAAAACCTGTCAGAATCACAGCAGACTTATCAGCACAAACAATAAAGTCAAGAAGAGCATGGAGTGAAGTATTCCAGATCCTAAAGGAAAATGATTTCCAACCTAGACTGCTGTACTCTGAAAAACTATCCTTCAAGATCGATGCAGAAAAAAAGATACTTGCATGACAAAGAACAGCTGAAGAACTTCATGATCACCAAGCCAATCTGCAAGGAATACTGAAAGACAGTTTAGATACACTTAGGGAAAAACCCACTAAGCAAAGCAGATAATTAAACAGAACAGAAAGATAAAGATGCAACAGCAGAAATATAACATGTCAATAATAAACCAACATATAACAGTTATGACCAT